GGACGAAAATCACGTCCGCGCGTGCTTGGGCGCAGTTGATATATGTTTGCCAAATCCTTGCGTTGCATGGGTTACGATGAGCCATGCACAAGGGTTACGACGAGAGATGCACAAGAGACTGCTTACAGGACGTTCCCGTTGAAACCGCCTGTCGGTTTGGAAAACAAATGCCAGTCAGGCGCATCTTGTGCAGTTAGATATTTGAGAATATGTCTGAAACCCCTCTTGTGCGAAACGTACCAAAACCAATTGCACGCCCGGAATGCTGAAACTATGCACATTATTGTCCTTGATTAATAATGTATACATTGAATGCAAATTATGCTAAATACTTGAAACGATTTAACTCTTATGCGATTAGACTTTTGAGACCTGTTTTCAGGTCTTGAACAAATCGCCCGAGAATGCTGCGAGCTTAAATTAATTTTGTCTTTATGGCCCACGTGCAGCTCATACATATTCAGGTATGCGGTCTAAGTTCCAGGGAACGCTTTAAATTAAAATAATTGCGCATATGGTTGTGTACGTGTGTATATATTCACGCACTTTATGTATTGAAAAAGAGTACATTCCAATGGATGTGTCTATTAAAAATAGAAGCACACTCACGTTTGTACCTTCATCTTTCAGCGTAGAGTAGAGATCGTAATGCAAATGCATCTGTTCTATTATGATATAACGGAATATTAGTATGACACAGATGACGCCGATATTGCGTTGCGTTGCCACAAAGTTGTTTTTAGTACCTTGCTTTTGCAAAGTTTTTGCTTACCACTTGCCTTATTCTTTCCCCCACATTAAACCCGCACCTATTCTATCAGCGAGCACCTTAAAGAGCAATCACTCCACATCGAGGGGGCGGCAGTGCAGCCAAACCACGCGCCTGGCCACCTTTGCCTCCTCGCCGCCGATGTTATGGACACGCCGCAAGCAGGCACCCGTTCAAGGCCGAGTCGACCTAGGCGACACCCGGGACCGGTCTGAGATATTCTCCACCCATGTTGTCTGTTCGCGCGAATCGAACTCGAGTTTGACCGGTTTCGGAGGACAGAGCGTCGGTCACTGGGCCCACCGCTTTCCACATGCCGTCGCATAAGGACACAACCAGCCATGCCCCACGGCATGCGAACATTATCAAGAGGAGGGTGGTTGGGTTTCACCAGACTCGGTGCAGGAGTCTGGCCGCTGCTGCTGCTGCTGCTGGTGCCACTTCCGTGGGTTTCCACATAAACATGCTGCACGACGTGCTGGTACTCGTGAGAATAAAACAAACAAATTCTAGACTTGAAGCTTTCGTGACTGCAAGGATTCATACTCTTAGGTTTTTTCGGTAAAGTCACGTAGGTAAAAATAAGTAATACAAATAAATAATGAAAAGTAAATAATAAGAATAAATAATAAAAATAAATAATGAAATTAATAGAAATAATAATAGAAATAAAATAATACATCACGACGTTTCGGGCGCAACACAAGCGTCCGTCATCAGGTGGGACAACCACAGCAAGAAACAGTTGCTGAAGTGGGCATAAAACAAACGCAAATCTCACAAGAAACGAGCCATCTCGAGCGTGGCTCTCGTGAGACGTACAGCAATGTCTAATTAGAGCTCAGGTAGAAAGGCCGGTGTTACATACTTCATATACCTAAAGTGGATATAAGGGGGAGGTGGTGGTGCACTAATTAGCACTGCGCTATGAGTTCGACAAGCTGGTCACGGCTAACAACAGCCGCGAGTGTTTTTCTTAAAACTCTCCCCCCGCCTGCCCAGTGCGATTGAAGTGTGGTTAAAAAAATACTCCCAATGACTATCATTGGCATCACGAGCCCTTTATCCAGCAGTAAACTGACAAATGGCTGAGTAATTAGTTTGTGCTCATTATTATGGTGGAAGCTGGATATAAGCACACCTGTTTATCTGATATAATCAGCGCACCCTTGCATTACATTGGTGGAGGGGGGGCGGGGAGAACTTTTGATACAAGCATACTTAAGTTATAAACACATTTCGCCTTGCTTCCAAGGGGTGTGCTTATCTTCGGGGTATCCGATGCCACTTGTTGAGGTGTAAGGTTATTGAGGGTACACGGCATTACTCTGCTATACCTTAGATGCCCAGTAGAGGGCAGATTTGCTCGGCAGCCTGACCCTCCAGGCTGGAAAGACCCGTTGGCTTGTCTGACCTGTAGGGCAAGGCAGATGAATTTTGGCCAAACGTCACTTTGCAAGTAGAACATCAGATATGTGGCATCCGATTTATAGTGAGGCCCTACTGAACAAAAATCACACAGCGGAATAACCAATGGTGTTGTTTGGTCCATGGAATATCACCAAAACAAAACCTGACGCTTTAAGAGGATGTGTACTTTACTCAAATTTTCCAAAAGGGTTAGGATAATAATCTCGTATATCTAACGTGGAGTGCTTGTGTATTATCCACCGGAAATCATGGTTATTGGCAAAAATGCAAGGACAATAATATGTATTATCATTGAGAGAGAAAAATCTGCATATTAGTAGATTTGTTTTGCTGATTGCATAGTATTTAATTATTAGCCTTTTCAGCAAAAATTTGTATTCACATTCTTTTGCTAGTTGTAACAGGAAACAAACTAACGTTTAACGTGATTTACGATCCTTCTAACGATCTACCGCAAAGAAGTCAAGAAAATGTATTCGACGTCGATGAAGTCCCAGCGTTTACGGTGTTGTGGCACTCGATATGGATTCCAGGTTTGATGATTTGTCAGATGTAGTGGAATAGAACGCGAATTCGTCCCGATTAGAGTAGACATTTTCGTTATTTTGGCGCGGGGATTTTTTTCTATTAGTGTTGATTTTTTACGCGGCCTAAAGTAATGACTAATTAAACGATGGTAGCAACGCACTCACCCGTCTCGATAAATGAACGGAGCTGCTTCCTCCTTCATTGATCGGCAATATGAGCCCCTTTTAATGGGATCAATTGCCCTGTTGAGGTCTGACTTCCCTATCATCCGACCGACCGACCGACCGACCTCAGGTTGTAATAATGTTTTCGAAATCAGACCTGGTATTTTACTGACCCCCTCCCCCCACCCCATGCCCGTTACGTCGTTGTCCATTTACAACTGACCTGACCATTCTCAAGTGTCCCCGTCTCTCCATCACCTGCACGAGGGTCAACAGGCATTTACGTCTCGGTGTGCGTCACGTTGTCATGCTCTCACCGGCTTGCCGGCCTCGTGTGATGACTCACCCATCCAGAGGACGTTTTGTTACACTCGAAATAGGAGATTTTGGGCAATTATCGCGTGCAATTAGAGCACTGCCGACCGGTATAAGCAACCGCGCTCACAACGCGCTGCTTTGTAAACAGTTTTGTGCTGAAATAATTTGTGAAATGTGAACTGCTGCTTCATTTTACAAACATCTTTTTGGGCGAAGGCCTCTCCACGCTTTTTATAGCCATGACGGATGTTTGACCATACTTCACCCAGCAATTCTGGACCAGTTCAGGTATCGCTGGAGCCAGGCCCTCATGCCCGCCGATTGGGTGAGCAGCATGCCAACCGCTTCGCCGTTGCTCCACTCTCACAGTGATGGTAACATATTAATGAGCAGACAGTTCTTAAATATTTTTTTTGAACATTCAGGTACCGATATGCTTGAACGCATAGTATGTTGCTTGTCAACTTCAGCGTCTCAAATGTTGCAGATAGCCCTAGAGTTGCAACGTTCTTACCGCATGCCCCTTCTGGACATCTGTGAACAAACAAAGAGCTTTATAGCTCATCGGATTTCTCCTCCAGTATGATTCTGAAGTTCATTTGGCAGGAACTAATAGAGTGTTCAGTTTTATCCCTGGCCGGCGAGATGAATGTTCCGCGAGACATGACAAACCAGACACAGTACCCAAGGGCACACTGTTGGTCGAACGTATCTGGTTGGATCAGACATTCCGTGAGAAGGAGACAAGCATCTGTTTACCTCGCTTGTCTTTTGACATGGTTCTTCATCGACCTTGCCCCCCCCCACCCCTTCAATATCCATAGAGGTCAACTCGGTGATCTCTGGTAGTTTAATTTCCAATTGTTTTCTCTAACTCTAGGGGGGGAAAAGACATGCTTTCCAAGATAAACAGAGCCCGAGGGTTGTAATTCCTTCCCGCTTCTCCCTGCACGGCTGGCATGCCTTATCATCCCAAAAATCTGCGCAAACACGCTCCTTTGTATAATTTGCCATCCTTGTCCCCACCCCACCTCCCCCGTTTTGCATGCAAAACGATATGTTTATTGTTTTCACTTATAATTTTTACATGCATTTTTTGTGCAAAGTTAGAAGTCACGTGCGTTGTTTTTAGCTTACAGTCAAAACGTCAAGAAGTCGGCGATTTCCTGCTCAAGAGACCTTGAGGCAGTGCTCATTTCTTGTTTACACCCCTAAGGCAGAGGTGGAAATTCCACATTCTCATGTCAGTGGTGTGTCTACGCACAGGGTGAGCCAATGTTGACTGCCTCACTAAGTGGTGCTCATTTTACTGACCTAAAAAAAGGATGATCGGCTGAGTGAACACCGACCAGCAAACTGAGTTTTATCCCTGGCCACGGCTAGCATCAGAGGCGAGTGATGTCTCAACCGGTCCTGGACCCACCAACCTACGCTGACCAGCGTTGTGGAGTATTGTCATACAACTCCAATGACTGACATGGCAGAATGGACCTTCATCCAGCAGCAGGTTGACAAAGGGCTGTACAATTGTAATAATTACATGCAGCATTGTGTGTGTGTTTATGGCTTGGTATCTGACATTTTCCGGAGTAACGTTATTTTTCTACATCAATGCTGCCGTCAACAGGAGGTCTTAATATTATTCACATTTAGCATATCCCCTCCTACTTTGTTGTTGATGATATTATTAAACATCGACATCTATTTATAACAGTGGCAACCTCTTTCTCTCTCTCTCCCTCTCTCCCGTCCGTCGCCTTTCTCGCACGGACACGTGGCGCCGCGTGCAGACGGTGGGCTGTGACGGGATCCTGGGCTCAGGACAACGTGGTGGACAAGTGCGGCGTGTGCGGAGGGGACAACACCGCCTGCAAGGTGGTCTCGGGCGTGTACAAGCGCTCGGCCACCTCCGTGGGCTACCACAAGATCCTGGAGATCCCCAAGGGCGCCATCAAGATCAACATCACCGAGATGAGCAAGAGCAGGAACTACCTCGGTGAGAGTGCCTTTCGAGCCCGCACGGGCGTCGCTACGCGGCACGTGCGACCTTCCGCACGCGCTGGTCATCCTGTTCTCCCTTGCTCCCATTGTGTACGCTCGACTCGTTGTATCTCGGGTCAAACCGTCAATCAATCACTTTCTTTTCTTAGGATGAGTCAAGAGCCTGCCCCCCCCCCGCCCCCTCCCGTGGGATCAGATGTCCCATTTTCAAAGAGAATCGGGAAACGATTCGCATCCAACGGTTGCCGTTGTTTGATTTTCTTCGCGTGGTTAAAATTTGCGGTGTTTCTTCTTCACTGGCTGAGATCGGTGGATAATAATATCAGCCAAGAATTTAGGTTAGAATTCCAGCAATGCTGTGTTGAGATTTTCAGCAAAATTTCTTGAGTTTTATTTATATTAAGTGTAGGGCAATTGTATGGTTTTTGCATATGTAAAGCACTCCGAGAAACCTTTATTCATGTGGGGGTGTGCTATAGAATAAAGATTGATTGATGAATCTGTAATTTGACCGATAGAATTTACATGCATTTTAAGCATAATCATTGCAGACCCGCCAGAAGCAACTTTAAGAAAAGTGCAGAATTCCGACTTAAAATTATTCATCGTTGTGCTGCAACTGCATTCGTCGCAGTTGAACGACCACTGTGAGCAGCCTTCTTAATGATCCACGTGCTACTTAGTAACTCGATCCGTAGAGATGCTGAAAGTTACGGAACAAATGAGGCCCTTCAGCTTGGTGGGGCTCACCCTCCCAACAGTGATGGAAATTCACTATCCACAGCGTTTACAACTGATTTCACAAGCTGGACTTAAACAAACTTTGAGGCTGGCTTAAACGGGCCATTTATTTTACTGTGCAAAAAAAAAAACCTCATCAAAATAACCCGTTTTTAAAAAGGGAACTAAAGTTTCCAAATTGAGCGGCAATTGCATCTCTAGCCACTGCTCACAATAGCTCGATTTTTTTTTAATGGTAAATGAAAGTGGGGCAGGGCTGGCTCAAGAGACATGTGGAGCCTATTTAAGACCTGGCCCCTTCTGGTGGAGCAATCGTTGTGCAATTTTGCAGGCAATGAAATGTGAACCTGGGAAGCCAATTTCTGGCACAGTTCATGAGAAAATCCGAAGTAATGAAGAACCCCCTGGAAGCAACTCTTAATTAAATGGAAACACCTGAATATGTGCCATTAGTAACTTCGGGCTTAAAGGAACATAAATATAGCTGTAAACATTACACTCAGTTTGAAAATCCTTTCCGTTCAGCAATATTATAGGCGCTTACGCCGATGATGGCAGTTTACATAATTTACGAGGAAAGGGTGAAGTGCATAATCAAAAAGCGGGGTGGGATGTTGTGTGAGCGTATATTAAACTAAGTGTATAAATATGCGATCTACGTCCATGACTTGATTCACCGAGTCACTGTTTTTTTTTATTATATACATATGTAAACTACAGCGTAGGTTTTCACATTTGATGTTTTCGAGTTGTACCATGTGCTGTACCATGTGTTGTTTGATGTGAATTTTTTTTTATATAGCGCATGGTAAGTACGTGTAAATTATAGGTCCAGGTTTAAGTTTGTGAACATTGTGATGATAGCTTCGGGAGTAGCGTGCCGGCGAGCGGGCCGAGAAATATGGTCTCTTATTTGGCTCGGGTGGCCTCAGTCACTTGCACTGTTTGGGTCATCTTTCATACCGCGGATCGCCTGTAACGCCGTCCCACTTGACGAAGAGGTGTGCACAGCGACCAATCGCTCTCTTCTGAAAGCAGCTGATCGAGCACCACAGGTTTCTTGGGAGATCAAAGTCAAGCGGAGCGTGAATTGATGTCGGTTGCTTAAACAAGCTCCCAGCACCTTCAACGAAATGTCGAACATCGTGCCGGACAACATACGGTCAAACTCGAAAACACATCAGAGAGAGAGATATATATATAAAATATACACACGTATATAAATAGCTGTTAATATATGTGTTTCGGGTTCAGTAATCATGGTTTGGAAATGCTGCATCATCATCATCTTCTTCTTGGTTCTTTCGGTAAAGTCACGTTAGAAGGGAAATAATAAAATAATAAAAATCAAACATAATACAATTATTCTCACGACGTTTCGGCCACAACGCCAGCAGCCGTCCTCAGGTGAAGAACAGGTGTGTCGGAAAGACAGCGTCTGATTGAACACCACCAGGCTTGGCAGCGTATATTTAAGCTGGGTTGGAGGGGGAAGGGTGCCTTGACAATGGAATTTGCATATCAAGAGGAATTTAGCATATTTATGGGAAATGCAGATATGGGATTAGTCACTACTTATGGAATGCGTAGGAGGTGAAGGGGGGGGGGGGGTTGTCTTTCCGACAGACCTGTTCTTACACTATCATCTTCTTGTTCAGTGTAGCGGCGTGCTCACCCTTCTGCCACGGACCTCTCCAAGCGTCGGAGCAGTCGACTGCGCTGCGCCAGTAATACTGTGGAGGCAACGGCAATCAATATGTCGACGTGCAGTTTTTATTATTAAGTGTCGCTGCAGTTATGGGAGCTTTTTGTTGTTGCCCAGCTAAGATTTACACGTTCATTAGTGGGTCGTTAACAAGGCAATATACTTGGCCCTATTTCAATTTGGAATGATTTACAGAGATCCGCTACATTTGTGCATTTCGTGAATTTCGGTAATGAGCTTTAACATTTTATTTTTATTCTTTTTCTTTCCTCCCATGAGCTACAGTGACACATCGCTAATTATATTTTATATATATTCGTCACGAATGACTTATCGTGGTTGTATTAGATCATGATTTAATGTGGGGGTATGTCAGTGGAGTAGGTCTGAGCCATCCGTTAACATTCTGAATGTTATTGTGATGCACCACGTCGTTACAGTTTGTTATTTTGTTAACAGAGCATGTATCGAAGCTGATCGAACATTGCAGCTGTCACACATTGACTGACGATTCCTAAGTGATACAATTTACATGTGGACAATGTCATGAGGGTTAACATTTCATTATCAACCACAGCTGGATGAAGGCCTCTCCAAGACATTGCCACGTGTCATGGTCCTGGGATATTATAATCTGCTTAGCATCTACATATGAGCTGATTAATGTTAACATTAGCATTCGTGAACATTGGTTCAACAGAGTCAGTTATTAGCTATTGCCGCCGCATAATATCATTAGATTTTAATTACAGGACAATTAAAAGATAACATTTTGCCTCGCGCACAATGTTCTCCCGCCGCTGCATGCGAGCATGCCGTTTCAGAGAGAGGCTGAACGAATGTCCCATTGCACACAGCGTGTGAAGTGTCCGGGTGTACCCACACTTTACCCCACCGCAAAAGATTCGGCTGACCATTTCACAGCATTGCACTTATGCAATGCTGGGACATGGATCCAATTATAACAGAGTTAACGATTAACTGACTGCAGACGGTTCTCTGCTGTGCATATGTTTCTCAATGCATGACAAAGCTCTGAATGGATTAATTAGGAGTGATACTTTTTCTCATAATTGCAATATCAGTCACCCGTGTGGCATTTAATTCAGATTAAGCATTCTTCACACGCACAAACTGGCTCTCTTTGACTGCCAGCTAGAACAAAAGCTGATACACATAGACAATCCAATCAGGTGCCTCGGCAGTAGAGCGAGAGGCCTGCAATTGGAAAGTTGTGAGTTCAAACCCTGAATGTGGCATTGATTCAGCCCGTCATCCCTCTCTGGCCGATAAAAATAAGTACCAATTTGTTGGCAAGTCTACGGTGCCTGTCTCATGCATAGACTCGTCATTGGAATGTGGAATTTCCACCTCTGGCTCAGGGCGGTAAATGGGAGACAAGCACCACATCATTGTCTTTGTTTTTTTCGGTAAAGTCACGTAGGTGAAAAAGAAAGAATTTTTTTTTTATACCGACGTGACTTTACCGAAAAAACCAAAGAGTATGAATCCTTGCAGTCACGAAAACTTCAAAATCCACCACCTCATTGCTCATTTGAGCTGCACATTTATTTGACCTCACTAAATTGGCCTGGCATGAACTCTATTGTCAAGTCCAAGTGACGTCTTGGGATAGCCAGTTTGCGACATTGTTTCCAATACTGCAGGTATTACGCGATACCAAGATCATGGGGAACATTTTTCGTAGTTTGTTGTCCTTCCCCCCGCACCTCCGATTAGCAGGGTAGGCTACGTACGGTGCCAAAGAAGTTCAACGTACACACAGTGCAACAATGCCTTGTAATGCCATTATGAAATTAATTCACTGTTCATAAGCAAGATAGTGTTTATACATGTATTTATCCTGCATTTCAAAGAAATGTCAGCTCCTATCTGGTATATACATATATATACTGTATGGCTATTCATATCAATGGGTGATGTATTTATGCAGAAATATTACGGCAAGACCCACCAACAGGTATAGTGCATTGCATTGGGAAAGTTAAATAGGTATTGCGGTTCAGAGTACCACCACTCGCAATAATTTTAAATCTAAAATAGAACAGATGGACTGATGGAGTGTGAGAGGCAGGGGCATGGAGATGAACGAGAGGGCACTTTCGTGATAGATGGGATGCGATGATAGCCAACAATAGAGGACTGCTGCTGCTGCTGCTGGAAGTTCTTGGGACCCAGAGGTCTCTGTAATGAGGCTGGACAGGAAGGCGATACCGATGTTGGCCATATTCTACTCTTGAGCGAGACAAACAAAATCGAATGTTGCACGGCGACCGAGAACACGACCTTGATAGAAACATTGTCGAAAAAGAACAGTGTCAGAAAATTGATTGGTATTCAGGTGTTGACCTTAGATGTCCCGCCGGCAGCATGCGAGCACACGCTGATGAATATGACAACGTAAGGAGTGTGGCTCCTCTAGCTGTTGTTTTGTCCGCACGTTTTGAATTTGAGGCATCAGACTCTGTCGACCTAAATTCCGATGGGGTGGCCTCGGGAGCCCGTGACCTTCGCTTGTGTTTGAACGAGATCAATGGCTTTATTTTGCCTTTTTGGACAAAGCCCTCATCCCCAGGAGCTTTGAGATCTATGTATAATAATAACAAGTTTGTTTTGTGAGTCTTAAGTATTTTTCCCCCTGTTTAAATCTGTTCAATACATTTTCAAATTCCTAGTCACTTAAATAAGCAGTTAGTTCTCTAACTGCTGATTTAGTTCTCTGCGCATTTGGTTTATAACAACTGTGCGGCACTTTGTAGTTCGGTAACTATTTTTTTTGTCTTCGTTGAATTCATAAACAGTTATTATTTGGGTCGCAAAAAAAGTTAAACATTATATACACGGTACAAAAAGGGTCGTCCAACAGTCGACTGAAATTGCTCATTAGGAAAGCCGCTTGGTATTTATGTGTTTGGAAAATTAATGTTGGCATTGAGTGTCTTGAGGAGCAGCGGGATGGCGAGAGATCAGATGACTGACTGCACTTTGCGAGGAGGTGCTGAGTGTGGATGGACTGGATTAGGGAGAGGTGCCAAGTACTGAACTGAGTTCATGGGAAAGGGCTTGCTCTTGGCTTCTCAGTTAACCTCCTGTCATGCCCTGCGCTCTGACTCCTACATCAGGTGGAATTATTAACACTGCCACCAGCAGCCCCCTCTGTGCCTTTCGCCACTCTGTATTGCCAAGGCTGTTCGTTGAAGTCCGGAGTATTAGCGCTGTAGAGCAGGCAACAACGCAACTTTCGTCGGTTGAAATCGATTTTTTTATGCGCTCGACACATCCATCCGATTGTGCGCTTGAGAATCGATTATTTTATCGTGGAATGTGTTGTGCGTGACTGGTTCACGTAAACTCTACAGCCGCGGGGCACATTACATTGAGTGTAATGGCAAAAAGATAATTTCCCGAGTCGGACCAAGTCATTGAATTGTGATGGGTGGAGGGAGGTAAATCGTTACTTCCTTAGTTGGAGTGCAGTGCATGGCTTATGCATGCACAAGAGGAGTCAAGATAGTTTTTGCAATGAGGAATTAAAGTGTGCGCCTGCTCCCGCATGCATTGTTTCATTTATTTTTTGCAGGCTTGACGATTCATGCACATTTTATATTCCATGGCTAATGTGTATAGACGGAGATTGAAAACCCACCTAAATATCCTGGCATCGCTTTCTCTTTGGAGTTTCATTCCTAAACGATTGAAGACGACAAAGACAGCAGGGGCTTGCGAAGCCACAGCACTGCCGTAATTCTCACAAACATTAATCGGTAACACGTGCTTAATGCGTTTTGACTATGTATTTTATATAACACATAGTGTCATCTAGACGGAACAGATACATATTTTTCTAGAAATGCTTTGCTTTCTTCTCTCTCTCTCTTTCCTTGTGTTAGCGTTCAAAAATTCCTCACTGGAAAAACTGGCATTAAGTCAATTTTGCACAAAAAAACACTTGTCAGCTGTCTTGAATGCCTTCCTTGAAATACTTTGCACATAAAGAGCTCAACATTTTTTTTCCACTTTTGGGGAGGTGGCTGCTGCCGCTGCTGGCTGGAGCAAGCGGACAGGGAATGGGTGACCTTCTGCTTGCTGTATCCCCCTCCCCCCTTCGCGACCCCCCCCCCCACCAGCCCCCCAACAAACCTACGGAATGTCCACCTGCTGTGCATTCACATTCACACCATCGTCTCCTGGTGCAGTGCAGTCCGGTGTAAAGCTCTGCCAAGATTTATCTACTGTCTGCCACCATTACAGCTGTCCCCTGACAGGGCTAACCAGTGTCACTGCACGACAGCCACAGCTCCGTCAGTGTGGGGGGGGGGGGGATGGGGGGGGGTTCGTGTTCGTCTTCACTTTTAAACAGCTGTTCAGTGACAGGGCTAACTGGTGGTGGCCCGAGTGACAGACACATCTCCCAGCACTTCGTCTAAGCTTTTTGTTGGATGGCTTGACGGCAAAAGAGACAAAGCCAGAGCAGGGCGAGGGTGAAGGGCCCATCCATCACTTGTCACGCCGCCGCGGCCGTGCTGAGCCACTTGCAGCGTGGCCCCCTCTCGTCACGCCGAAGGTCACCGCAAGCCCCCCCCCCACCCCACCGGGGTGCTTCCATTGCGTCCCGCAGCACTGACAAATTCAGTCATTGAAAGCGGGGCAGCTCTCGGCACGCGCGAGCGAGACGGCCGTCCGGAATTGTGCGCCGAGTCGCATTCTTTTTGCTGAAGGCTGGCATTGCTGTGTCGTGGTCGTGCTACGATTCCAGATGAGGTGGTGGGGTTTTTTTTCTTCCACAATGGACTGCTGTTCGCTTTAGCCCTGTGAATAATCTCTCGTTATTTTTTAAAGCCGCCGTTTTCTCAGGCTTCTTAAAAGGCTCTCCTGACGTGTCGCCATCTCACGCGCGTCCGCAATGCATTTGCGGCGCGGGACGCACCTGATCTTTATAACTCATAGGCTCAGCGGCAGTGGAAAGAAAGCCGGGAAAAAAAACCCCACGGTGTTGACCTTTCAACCCACCGCCATAAGGCCACAGGCCTGCTCGGCGAGGGGTCCTTTTGGTACCGTATAATACATGCGAACGGGGGTCATGTCCATCTGCCTTATTAATGTCCAGCCACATGCCTCGTTTGCTTTTTCCAGTGCCTCTTTTTCGGTTGTTTGCACAAGCAGATCCATGGCTGCGTGGAGTGACCATCCATCAAAGTGCCAACGTGGGTCCTTAGAACGTGCAGTGTTTGTGCCCGCCAGCTTTTGTGTGGGATGCTTCAATAGACCTGAGAACTTCATTCATAGTGCCTTGGAGATGTAACATTGTTCCACAGCTGGTAATCCTGGGTGCATCTGAAAGGAGATACCCGTTGCTTTGACCGATGAAGGTCACAGTCATTAAGCGACCTGTTATATGGCGTGCAGGGAAAATTGATTTCCTCCGTGGAAGTGCATATGTGGATTTCCACTGAGCTCGGTTATAAGGGATCCAGAGGTTGGATTTTTTCTCGCGTGCTGAATCGAGGTATTGCTTCCCTTGAGCAAACGCACCGACGTAATTTTGTCAAGTCATAATGCGGCGCGTGTGTTTGAGCGCTCTAATGTATACTTTGCTTGCATTACCTTTTCCGCCAGCCCTGAGGAGTCACGCTGGACAGTCCATCATCAACGGGAACTGGGCCATCGACCGGCCAGGAAAATACGAGGCCGCGGGGACGATGTTTATGTACAAACGACCGAACGAGATTAGCAGCACCGCCGGTGAATCCTTCATCGCTGACGGGCCGACGACTGACGTGCTGGACGTCTTTGTAAGTTGCACTCGTTTGTGTTATACAGGGTGCTTCAAAAACATGTTCACACTTACGTGGGACGATCGTTTTTAACGGAAAAAGAACGGATAATACGCTGTAACATAACTAATGTATTTCGATTTAAAGCTTTCGTGACTGCAGGGATTAATCTTCTTGGTTCTTTCGGTAAAGTCACGTAGAAGGGAAGTAATAAAATAATAAAAATAAAACACGGACCTGGTTTTCACCTGAGGACGGCTGCTTGCGTTGTGGCCGAAACGTCGTGAGAATTGTTTTATTATGTTTTATTTTTATTATTTTATTACTTCCCTTCTACGTGACTTTACCGAAAGAACCAAGAAGAAAACTAATGTATGTTAATAGCTTCAAAAAGTCAAAGAGCCTCCACTTGTTCACTGTCATTGTCAACACGTGCCTGGAATCTTCTCCAGGTGGTCTCCAGAGCCCGGAGGCACATTTGCCGTGGCATTGTTGCAAAGTCTCAGAAGTGTTAACATATTTTTGAAGCACCATGTATTTTGTTCGTCTGTACGTATGTTGAACTTCTTCTGCACCGTACGTAGCCAACCGTGCTAATCGTGGTGTGGTTTTTATCCAGAGTGCTCTGGTTTCCTCCCACACACTTTAAAAAAAGAACTGATTTGTGGGTGAATTAATTCATCGCATAGCCTGCTGATTCAAGTGACTTATGATTGATGCGTGTTTCCTGTTCATTCCACCGCATCTCTTGACCGCGTCTTTCAGTTAAGATTGGATATATTTTTGTCATTACGGGAAATTTAACTACTGTTTATATGGATATTGCAATGCAGATTATCGGAAAGGCCAGATGTAACTTTTGCAGATTTACTCGTTATGCTCTAAGGTACACTTGCAGCGATTTGCCTAGACGGACTCATGTTCCTTGTAAAACGACGTGTTCGTTTAACCGTATCACAATACAGAGAGGGCACTTCGCATTGCACCATGATCGTGCGGGTAGCATACGCCCATTTCAATGTTTTATTTTGTGCCGTAAATGTACGTTGTAAAATGTTTGCAAAAAGCAAACAATCCCTGAAGAGGGCACTTTTCTAATTGCCGATGCTCCGCTGTGCTCTACTTGTGTTTACGTAAGCCACAAACAGAGATCCACAAAACATTTCTCTGGCTCCCAACCAAATGCCAAGACGTCGCTCAGACTAAACGGCAGGATGCTTACACAAGCAAGCGCTTCTGCAGTCACAGGAGGAGCGGTGTTTATAGACGCTTCGTATGCTATGTGGGTTGTAATTGTGCTGCTCCACTTCAACAGATGATCTACCAGCAGTCGAACCCCGGGGTTCACTTCGAGTACGTCCTGCCGTCAGATAATGTGGTGAGCAGCCAGCTGGACCCGAATCCGCCCAATCACAATTTGGGTGAGCACGCCAGCACTTATAAACTTCCTATAAGCAGTTAATTATAAATATATATGTTCTGGGGGCGGGGGGGGGGCTTGCAACGGCGGTAAGGATGACGAAAAATGCAAAGAGTCATAATCTTGGCACGCGGGCTCTCACTGTACAGAATGTGGATATATTTTCGTAACATTTGGATTTTAACAGTGTAATTTGGCATGACTTTTGTGATGTTTTTTTGTTGCAATAGCATTTTACATGTCACTAAAATAGGAAGTTACTGGGGGAGCGGTAGCGCATTAGTTATAGCACCACACTGAATCTGTCGACCAGAGTTTGATTTCCGGCCGCGGCTAACAACAGTTGTGAGTGATATCTGAACCGACCTACGCTGACTGGCATGTATGATCAAACAACACCCACAAATGATGCAGTGATGCAGTGTGGAGTGGCCTTCATCCAGCAGTGCATTGACAAAGGGCTGTACAGTACAGTGAGGGAAAATAGTATTTGATCCCGTGCTGATTTTGTACGTTTGCCCACTGACAAAGAAATGATCAGTCTATAATTTTAATTATACTTTTATTTAAACAGTGAGAGACAGAATAACAACAAAAAAATCCATAAAAACGCATTCAAAAATGTTATAAATTGATTTGCATTTTAATGAGGTAAATAAGTATTTGACCCCCTCTCAATCAGAAAGATTTCTGGCTCCCAGGTGTCTTTATACAGGTAATGAGCTGAGATTAGGAGCACACTCTTAAAGGGAGTGCTCCTAATCTCAGCTTGTTACCTGTATAAAAGACACCTGTTCACAGAATAAAATCAATCAATCAGATTCCAAACTCTCCACCATGGCCAAGACCAAAGAGCTCTCCAAGGATGTCAGGGATAAGATTGTAGATCTACACAAGGCTGGAATGGGCTACAAGACCATCGCCAAGCAGCTTGGTGAGAAGGTGACAACAATTCGTGCGATTATTCGCAAATGGAAGAAACACAAACGAACTGTCAATCTCCCTCGGCCTGGGGCTCCATGCAAGATCTCACCTCGTGGAGTTGCAATGATCATGATAACGGTGAGGAATCAGCCCAGAACTGCACGGGAGGATCTTGTCAATGATCTCAAGGCAGCTGGGACCATAGTCACCAAGAAAACAGTTGGTAACACACTACGCCGTGAAGGATTGAAATCCTGCAGCGCCCGAAAGGTCCCCCTGCTCAAGAAAGCACATATACATGCCCGTCTGAAGTTTGCCAATGAACATCTGAATGATTCAGAGGACAACTGGGTGAAAGTGTTGTGGTCAGATGAGACCAAAATGGAGCTCTTTGGCATCAACTCAACTCGCCGTGTTTGGAGGAGGAGGAATGCTGCCAATGACCCCAAGAACACCATCCCCACCGTCAAACATGGAGGTGGAAACATTATGCTTTGGGGGTGTTTTTCTGCTAAAGGGACAGGACAACTTCACCGCATCAAAGGGACGATGGATGGGTCCATGTACCGTCAAATCTTGGGTGAGAACCTACTTTCCTCAGCCAGGGCATTGAAAATGGGTCGTGGATGGGTATTCCAGCATGACAATGACCCAAAACACACGTCCAAGGCAACAAAGGAGTGGCTCAAGAAGAAGCACATTAAGGTCCTGGAGTGGCCTAGCCAGTCTCCAGACCTTAATCCCATATACAATCTGTGGAGGGAGCTGAAGGTTCGAGTTGCCAAACGTCAGCCTCGAAACCTTAATGACTTGGAGAAGATCTGCAAAGAGGAGTGGGACAAAATCCCTCCTGAGATGTGTGCAAACCTGGTGGACAACTACAAGAAACGTCTGACCTCTGTGATTGCCAACAAGGGTTTTGACACCAAGTACTAAGTCATGTTTTGCAGAGGGGTCAAATACGTATTTCCCTCATTAAAATGCAAATCAATTTATAACATTTTTGACATGCGTTTTTTCTGGATTTTGTTGTTGTTATTCTGTCTCTCACTGTTCAAATAAACCTACCATTAAAATTATAAACTGATAATTTCTTTGCCAGTGGGCAAACGTACAAAATCAGCAGGGGATCAAATACTTTTTTCCCTCACTATATATCGAACAAATACGGTGACTACATTGTACGCTTTCAGATGTGCTTCTGCGGCCGTCTGGAACGCTCTTCCTTCCAATATTAGGAAGCCACTGAGGCTATGCACTTTTAAATCATGTAGATTCAAAACGCATTTCTGTAGAACTGCTTTTTGTGTTTAGTTTGTTGTCCTTCCTCCGTACATTCGATTAGCACAATTGGCTACATATGGTGCTAAAGAAGTTCAACATAGTTATTACTAATTTGTCCTAGTAGGGTCACATTGGTAATTGCATAAGTAAGTCATACTGGATAAGATTTATTTAAGTACATCAGAGTACCAGTGTTTAACATATATACACTAATGCAGTAATTATTTTAAATCTATGACTTGACAAAACTTTTAAGAGACGTGTTTTATAAGCTGTTATCGTGAAAAATATAAATGACATGTTACATAATAACCTGCAATATAATTTCATGGTAAAAAAAAGTATCACTTCAACCACTTAATATAACACATTTCATAACGTCTCATTTTCTGTACGGTAATTGATTTGCTGTAATTGAAGATACTCTCTGACTTGACCCCTAGCAAAATTGAGGTCGGCGTATAATGTGCCATATTCATGCGATGCTGCATGATTTCGCTTTGCTTCGTCTGTTTGCACGTAAAACCCATTTAACCAATTGGCACTGCAAGTGGGTTGACTTTGCATGTCTACGAACGATGTTGGCAATGCAGAGGAGGCGTACAACGGGCAGCTGTCGGGCTCAGCCATTGGAGGAGGAGGAGGAGGCGGCGGCGGCGGCAGAGGAGGGCACTCGACCGTTACCCACACTGCAACGGACCCTGCGGGCGGTCACCTGGGACCCGGGCAGCCTGGCGTGCCACCTGCGTCTCCCTGGCTCCGTGACTATAACTGGAAGAGGGTGGGCACCACGGAATGCTCTTCCACCTGCGGTAGAGGTGAGCCGTCCCACCCAGAAATTTGATTTCAGACGGATTTGTCCGGGTCGACAACCCAGAATTTATTTATTTTCCGCCGGGCACACCACATTTGGTACACCTTTCTCCCCGAGAGCTGAGGCTGCTCGTGAGCGTGCCAGCGACTCCTCCAGTCTAACAAGCGACCAAGAAAATATTCAGTTAGAAATAATGGCCTGGTTTTACCCGTGCTGAACACAGTAAAGGCAGCCCTTATGTTCGAGTAATACATTTGCACAAATCACCCACATGGCCCGAAAGCTACACGTGTGCAATGGCTTTTTTTCCTTAGGTGGTGTTTTTATTATTATTATAGCAAGTAATCCGAGGATTGATTCCAGCTGAAAGGATATTTTAAAGTACTGAGTACAAATAAAGTAATAAATATCTCACAATATTCGTCATCAACACTGCATTATAATCCGCCTATTCCAACATTTTCTGCATGAAGACAAATGTTGAGGCATGTTTTATGTTTGCTTGTGGACCACTGAAATAACTTTTTTTTCTTATTCATACAAATACATTTTTTTCAATAGAAATGTTTTGCACAGTTATAAATGAATTATAACTATGATGATTTGCAGCTGTTTTGCAGATTAAGGCCTTCCTTGTGGCATGTCATTCATGGGGGTTGTTGCAGCGTTGTACAAACATACACACTTAGAAACTCTAGTAATTCTTTATTCATCATCGTCAGCCTTGATTTATCTACTGCTGGATGAAATCCTCCCAAAGCCATTGCCGTCCCTCATGGGCGCGCAATACAACAATTTAACCAGCTTCGCATAAGCTGATTTCACTGATAAAAATATTTCCCTTCAAATGTATAAAAGGCCAAGATCTGAGTTCGATTCCCGGTCACGAATAACGTCAGTGGCAGGCGATAGCGCAACCAGTCCTGGGTTTCACATTTCACAACCCACACTGACCGGCGTGGTGAAGTATGGTCAAACGACCCCCATGACCAACACGGCGTGAAGGAGGCCTTCATCCAGCAGTGGATTGAGAAAGGGCTCTAAATCGTTGTTTTAATTATTACTACTACTCCTACACAAATGCATGTTTGTAGAAAATGCAGACAGAAATGCTATTCACCACTGGTCGCTTCTTTAAGCACATTGTTAAGCACGTGTTTTAAAAAGGGATGCTTTCTCGTCTGGAATGTACGGTATGTAAACGCATAGCATGAGCATCGCAAAAACGTACACAGCTATGCGAAAACTATTTCTACTTATTTCGATTTAAAGCTTTCGTGACTGCAGGGATTCATCTTCTTGGTTCTTTCGGTAAAGTCACGTAGAAGGGAAGTAATAAAATAATAAAAATAAAACATAATAAAACAATTCTCACGACGTTTCGGCCACAACGCAAGCAGCCGTCCTCAGGTGAAAACCAGACGGACCTGGTTTTCACCTGAGGACGGCTGCTTGCGTTGTGGCCGAAACGTCGTGAGAATTGTTTTATTATGTTTTATTTTTATTATTTTATTACTTCCCTTCTACGTGACTTTACCGAAAGAACCAAGAAGATATTTCTACTTATGGTTAAAACAATGACAGTTAATAGTAAGCACACCACAGTATTTAGAGAACATTATTATCAACAGCTGTTTACTTTGCTGTGCACGTGTGGTGTCTGCGGACGTCCACGATAGCCCCACTCGCGTACCCATCGCTCCCTGACCCCTTGACCCTCTTGTACTCTCTGCCCTTGACTCTCTGCTGCTGCTGACCTCACACGCCGCGCCGACGTGAGCTGCCCCGATGCAATATTTTAAATCAAACGCCCTACTCGTTTCAAATCCATTTATTGGGTTTCTATGTATTAGATTCAAATTTTATTTGCAAAATCGATGGGGTCACCTTACACGTGATTTTCCAAAAACAGAACCTTTTTGTGATAACGATGAAAATGCTTAAGTTATTTCATATTTTATTAATTAAATGCCTTCAGAATGTACAACCATGTATCGTTTGGTTGGTAACCAGGAGGTCTTGGGTTCGATCCTGACCCTGACGCCTGCTGTATATTTGGAGTTTGCGTGTCTCTCTCTCTCTCTCTCACCGTGGTCAGGTGGATTTCACTGCAGGTCATCCGGTTTTTCCCTCCACATTTAGAATCAACAACATGCTTTTAGAGTATTTGGCCTCTACACATTTCCACGCGATAAGCCACGTCGTTGAGCTATCATTTGTGGGCAGCCAGGTTGCTTCTGAAAAAAGAGCTACATAACTCAGTGGGGCCTTACCTGGTAAAATTAAAATAAAATTATGGAAATGGCAAAGCCTTCGGGTGGTGTTCATCCAGCAGTACTATTGACTGTGGCTGACCGATGGTAACGATGGTCAAGCGGGGGGGGGGGGGGTACAATGTCCCGCTTATTGTGATGGAGAACCCCGGCGACCATTTTGCTTTCCCCCCGTCCCCCCCCCCCCCCCGCAGGCAAACAGCTGCCGGTGTTCCGCTGTGTGAGGCGCACCACCCAGGAGGAGGTGTCCGACACCAACTGCGACTCGTCGTCACGGCCACCTGAAGAGGAGGAGGCCTGTAACGTTCAGCCTTGCCCCGCATTGTGAGAGCCCCCCCACCCCACCCCCTGTCTCCCCCCATTGAACGGTCACCATTCGGTCGTGGTGCCAGCGACGATGATGATGACGACGCGTCAGTTGAACATCGATTGACGTTGCTCACGAGAAGGTATATTGTACGCGTTCCTAACCCAAAAAGCCTTTATTATCATTCATATTGGTCGCGAAAGCCTCCGTGTTAGATTGATTAATATTTAATTCGCACCCTCACGAGATACGTGCGTTGTCGCGTTTCTAAGAATCGACGGTTTGTAGATGTTGTACGTGACGGGTTCAACGTCATCCCTGCAGCCACTAGAGGCACTATCATTCATACCGATTCCAAAACAAATAATTGATTACTCACGTGAAGTGTGACCCTGAATGGAGCAACATCTGGCAGGTGCGGTGGGGGTGAGGGGAGATGGGGGGCGGGGAGTGGATGTTTCCACCCGTTCCACAGAGTAGATTGTGGTTCGTTATAATTGCTGTTCCAGGCCTCCGTCTGGGTGGTGCACCTCAACACAGCAGTTACCGCAGTGTGACAAAAATTAAATTACGGAATTGAACCATGACCCTGAATTGCAACAATTCATCAAATCGCCTAGGCGCCAGGGTTGAATAGCTCATCTTCCCACCCTGACTGTTCAGTGCGCAACAGCGGTCAACAGTGTTTTTTTATTTACAATGTTTTTTCTGTTGTCACCGTCGTGCCAGCTCACCACAAATCAGCAGCAAAAAATGAGCACAAAGTATACCTTCAGGCGTCTTTCTATCATTTCCTGGTTCAGCCAATGGCCCCGTTAACTGCCAGGCAAGGCCCTTAAAATCCCACGGTAGTTCTCAAGTTCTGACTGCCCCACTCATAATTTACAACTTTACAGAAATCTATTTTTTTTACATTACATCTGCTTCGGATCAGACTTCCTCTAGAAGGAAAAACTCTGGATTAAACTAAAGTGTATTTTGTGGTCGTATTTTTTCTCTATGAAATATAAGCAACATGTATGTCATATATCATTGTTTAGCATAGCAAGTTTCATCAACACAAGCCTTCGCGATTACATTTTAAAGTTGCTTGATTTGTATGTGTAGCTGTACACAATATCTGGTTAATGTTCTACGTATTTACACGAATGAATAACAAATCTGTGCGAAAGTTATTTTGTATAAGTACAGCTGTCTCTCGGGATCTGGGAGAATTGTGAATAAAATGTCTATTTGCATCACAAAGCCAGAGTGGGTAATTAATTTCAACAACTACAACTTGGCGTTTTTATAGCTTACAGCCTTACAAAACAAGATTATAGTGGGAGGTCTCTCCATATCTGCTGCTGTTCTCGAGTCTGGATTATTCTCCTGCTGGCCATCGTTGCTGTTGACTCCATGCCCTTGTTCATGTTCAGGCTCACTATTCCGTTATTCTCTGCTTATAAATAACTATTTCTGGTCTTTAAAATATATATATTCAGCATAACTACACACCTCCATTTCCCTGGATTGCTCATATCCCACTGTTTTGCACAACGTCTTGAGACACGGTTGTTGACAGACGCTCTATAATGAAAGTTGTATGCGAATGCCTTTGACCAAATCTCCCAGAATATTCCCAACCTCATCAGATTTTTCAGGATAGTGCTACGCAGGGTTGAGCTGGGATAGTGCTGAGATGGGCGATCACCACGCATTAACAAAAAAAACAGGTGTTGTAGGCTGCAGCAGGGCTCCGTTGTTAACAGGGGGCAGTGTATAGCAACATTCTTTGTTATACGGTACTATGCTCCAATGTCTATGCTCCCCATCTTTGCCGACCCGCACTGCTCAGCGTAGTGAAGTATGGTCAAACAACCACGACCTCTCATAGCTTGGCCTCTCGTTGTTTGGCCTCTCATGGCCGGGTGGAACCCCTGCCCCGTGCGGAATGTCACATGACCCTGGCCTATCCCCCGCACCTCTGATTAGCATGGTTGGATACGTACGGTGAAAAAAAACTTCAACATACATACACGACAGCTTGTACAGCTTGGGGAGTATCTCATCCTCATCCAGCCATGAATTGGCAAAAGGGCTCTCTGCGCCGGTGTTCGTCGTTGCAAGGCCCCGCGGGCTACTGTCGGCCCCTGGTGGCCTTTAGTGCGGCCCCTGACATGCGGCCCACGGCAGTACGCAAATGGTTAAAACACCCCCCACCATCACCATCGTGCTGCTGTCAAACCCAGATGGCGACAAATGGTGTCGCAGCCCTCGCACGCAACGACGATGTCTTATCGGCGAAAGTGGGCCCCCTCTGAAAATTAGTGAAGAGCCACTGCTCTACGTGTACAACGTACATGTGCCAACGCGAGTGAGTGTGAAGGACACGCTGTTCTCTTTCTATCGCCCGCTCCCTCCCTCCCTCCCTCCCTCTGTCTCTGCAACCATGTCCCACGCGATCCTCTTCGCGGATTTTGCAGCTGGGACCTGGGCGAGTGGTCCGAGTGCAGCAAGACGTGCGGCACGGGGAACCAGCACCGCCAGGTGCTGTGCCGCCAGGTGTACGCGGGCCGCGTCACCACGGTGCAGCCACACCGGTGCCGCACGCTGGAGAAGCCCGAGACCACCACCACGTGCCAGCTTAAGATCTGCAGCGAGTGGCAGACCCGCTCCGAGTGGAGCTCCGTGAGTAGCTTCGTGGTTTCCTTCACCCCCCCCACCCCCCCCCCCCAAAAAAAACCAATTGAGGTACACAACACAGTGGATATGAAAGTGGGGAGGTTGACACCAGCACAAGCAAATTACGGATTACAGTGCAATGAAAACCCGACTAAACCGCATGTTTCAACACACTGCCTCAATAAACTCTACCCAAGCTCTGATGCCCCTCTGTAGGAGAAGAAGAAAAAAAAAGTGTGGGGGGAGGGAGGAGTGCCTAAATGCCGCTCATGAAAGCTCTTACGAATCAATTCCCATAGAAGGAGAGGTAGTGAAGGGATTCCATGAGTAGCTTCGTGTTTAAAACAAAAAAGTTTGCTCGTGAACGTTGCCCCTTGCGTGAGTAGTGGGGCAGTGAGCCCAAACCGCCTTCTCTCTCCCCTGCCCCGTAGCCACCAGGCCTCGGTGCTTGTCGTCCGCGGAATATCTGCACCCCCCCGCCTCTCTCTCCCCGTCACTCGCTTTGTACCAGGCTCTTGTTGAATAATAAGAATCATAAGCAAAGATGTTTATGGCCCAATAAGCCATGAGAAACAAATGCTGCTGGGCGACATGAAGGAAGTTGAGCTCCGTACAGTGAAATGATAATAATTATCGAGAGCGGATATTTACTATAACATTATAAATAATGATCGATATAGGAAGAGAGAGTTTCAGCCAAAGACATGCCATTGGGCAAAGGACTAAAGAAGAAGCGATTAACTGACATACTAACTAGTTGCTATGAAAGATGGTTCAGAAGCATGGACATTGACACAAGAAAATGGAACATAAGTTCACACAGGTGAGGGGCGCATGGGCTACAGAACACAGGCTAAAGACGTTTCGATTCATATGTGATACATCATGGATTCATGTGACCCCTGCACCCACTAAGTGGCTGCTACATTCATCACAATGTCGAATTGTGACCCTGAATGGTGATAATTGAATTCCCAGGTGACATTATTTGGAACTGCTGTTAATCGTGGTCAGGAATTTAACTCAAGTTGCTAGGTTCAAAGTGAAGTGTGTTAACCACTATGCCACTGCCCCCCCCCCCCCCCCGAATACCCATATTATTAATGTTTAAGTATGTGTATTTAATTGTACGGTTATTAAAGGATTTTTGTTAAATGCAACACTGCCATATTGCATACTGTGAAACTGACACAACATGCAAAACGTAAGTAAACGTGGACCAAATGCGGAACGGCAATGAATCGGCAGAGTTCGAATGAAGGTCGTTAAAATGGCAACAATTTACGAAGCATCTGAATACAACATCTTAAGAATGCGGTACGAGAAGAGCAGCGTGCACATCATGACATTTACGGAGGATGCTTGGGAACGCAGGTTATGCGCGCGTGTGTGGGTTGAGCGGTAGTGTAGCGGTTAGCGTGCTGCGAACCCGGCGACCCGAGTTCGATTTCTGCTCACGGCCAACACCAGTGAAGATTATCTGAACCGGTCCTGGGCCTTCCCTAGGTCGACTCAGCCTCAAATGAGTACCAAGTGCGGTGTGTAAACGTCGCCACTGGGGAGACAAAGGCGGTCAGACGTGGTGCTGGCCACCCACCCCCTCACGTGCCGTTCATAGGTGCTCGCTAACAGCACTTATCCCAACAGTCTGTTATGGCGACACGGGGGATTTTCGTCGCTCTTTCTTTGTTCATCGCGCGTCTCGTGGCAACTCCGCAGTGCTCCGTGCCGTGCGGCCTGGGCCAGCGGAGCCGCGACGTGAAGTGCGTGAGTAACCTGGGCGACGCCGTGGACGACGGCGAGTGCAACATGAAGCTGCGTCCCGCCGACAGCGAGAACTGCGACATGGGGGCCTGCGCCAAGAGCTGGTTCCTCACCGATTGGAGCGAGCGGGTAAGGCCATGGGGCCACGGTTCACGGAGCGGGTTTGGGGGCGGGAGGGGGGGCAAGGCAGAATAATATTGAATTATTCAGCAAGAATGACACAACGGGCTTAGTTATTTTGAACTGGTCTCAATCCTCCTTTACTCATTTAAGGATGAGGATTTGCGGTTATTGAGCCCCTAAACACCACGGCATCTTAAAGTGCTTTACCTAACAAACAAACCACTATAATACAATATTGCCAGCTTGGAAATATTATTAATGTAAATGTGAAATATTTAACGTTTTACCATATCATGAATGTCTTTTCATCCACCAATACAGACTTAAACTTGGACGTGCGATTTGCACATGAATGCTATACGCTGCAGAGATCCACCAATAGTTTGCATAGCATTTTCAATAGTCTCAAAAGATACACACGATGTAATTTGCCTGACTTTTATTGTATAGCCAGAGATGGATGCTGCCCCTTTTCCACAGAGCATTTCTTGGATAAGTGTTTGGCTATTTCATCATATATATTTCATGAAAAATCTGGCTACTTCATACAAATCTGGCAAAAGGAGCCTTTGTCCAACACGGTCATTAGCTTAAGAGTTTTGCACCTCCCATAGCTCTTTAAGTGCCCCAGATGTCTCCAAAAATTCTAACGAGAGAAATGCTTTACACAAGTGCCATGCTCGGGCCAAAGTTGTCTCTGTGCCATTGGCTCTTCCGTTTTACACGCACGAACGTGAGTTTAACGACCAGGGCGAAACGTTACGCACACCGGGCGATACCTAAGCAAGTGGTGGAGGCATGCAGGAGCTTGAGCAATGAGCTCTGTCTGCAGGGAGGACAAGAGCGCACGCCCCTAATGATTTAATAAAACAGCTGTTTCACACCTGTGGGGCAAGACTCTGCGTGGCAGTCTGCTAAACGCTCCGGGGTGTTTTGTGGCCCAGACAGGGGTCTGTCGGGAATTTTTAGTCTAGAAGTTCCCCGCGTTTTTCATTCCTTTGTAGTTATGCATTATTTAATACCTTCGTTGGAGGTAACAAAAAAAATAACAGACTTGAGAACCGACGGAATCGTCGTGCCAATACACGCCGTTAATAAAACTTCCACGATTCACAAGTGCCGTCCAGTTTATTGGCTGCAAGGTCAGTCTCGAATTCTCTCTCGAGCACGTGCAATCCAGTTATTAACAGTACTGCTGTTGTCCTGTTCATTATGCATCTTAAATAACGCAATACATATTTGTATTCCAGTGCCTGGTACAGGCAACTTTTGGTAATTGTTAATCTCCTCGTCGAGTCTCTGCTACGTAACGAGCACAAGGCACATCGTAGTGTGAAGATGCAGAGAGTTAAAGAATGCTTTAATTTTAATTGCCTGCTTTCGTGATGTGCGTGTGCGTACATGCACGCGCACACCTATGTATTGGTGTGGGGGACCAGTCGTGTAGTGGTTAGCGCACTGCCTTATGATCACAGCAACCTGAGTTTGATTCTTGTTCACGGTCAACTTCAGTTACAAATTACTGAATACAGTCCTGGGCTTCTCCAAAGGTTAACTGAACTTAAATGGAAAAATGTAATACTCAAACAATACACCTCCTTTACATTTACCTGTTCCTCCACGTAGATAATTAAAGTTTCCTTTACATATTCCCATAAGATGCACAGCCTTTTATAAGTGCATCATTTCGGCAGCATTGGTGCAAAACAAGCAGACTCGGTGTTGACATTCATTGTCTCATCAGCAGCGTCACCTTTGCTTGAACCAATGCTGGCAAACTGCCTGATATTAACAGGCAATCAGCAGAGGGGCAACAGAGGCTTGGCCACACCGCGCCCTCGTGTGCCGTGCCCGCTCCCGTTGTCGCTTGCTAACTTGCACTTGCCCCAACAGCCTGCCGAGGCTATACACAGGACCTTTGTCTTTGTTCCACGTCAGTGCTCGGCGGACTGCGGCGAGGGAGTGCAGTCCCGCTCGGTGGTTTGCCTGATGAACCACGTGAACAGCCTCCCACTGGAGGGCTGCTCCAGCGACCAGCCGACTGAGAGGCAAGCCTGCAACTACGGCAGCTGCGAGACCAAAGTGGAATGGTTCACCGGGCCCTGGGGACAGGTAACGGCCGCGCTGAGAACACGTTTCTCATTAATAAAGGAAGTAAGGGGCTGGTGGGGAGGGCTGGCAGGGTTACGGATGTATGGAGAATAATTACCACCCAGTCATAACAGAAAAAGTGACCTCTTGCGTAGGGCTTCGCTGTTGTGCTGTGTATCCCTCTGAATTGTTTTTTTGGGCTGTACCTTTAAGTCGTTTCTGAAGCTCCCAGAACGTGGGGTAAAATGTCGGACATCATGCTGAACAGCGCGTGGCACAACCTGAAAATGCATCAGAGAGAAAGAACGACACTCCCCCCTTGACGCCATTAAACGATGAAGACAACTGCAGTTATTTGGGCACATCCATAGATCCAGCAAATGTATCCAAACTATCCTGCAAGATACCATTTAGGGGACTTGAAAGGGAGAGCACTTAAGGAAGGATTCTAAACATCATAGACTGTCTTCTTGTTTTATTTTTTATTATTTTATTATTTCCATTCTACGTGACTTTACCGAAAAACCAAGAAGATTAATCCCTGCAGTCAAGAAAGCTTTAAATCGAAATTTCATCGTAGACTGCTTCGGCTCATATGCCCAAAACTCCAAGTAGCCAGAAACAAATAGCATTATTCACGGTGTAATACATAAGTGTTGACACGAGTGACTATGTCTGATGAATTTCTGATAATTAACATAAAGCATTAGAATTGGTTTATCGATTCAAGTTGTCCGCTTGGCCACGTCCGCAGTGCTCCGTCGGCTGCGGCAACGGCACGCAGAGCCGGGACGTGATCTGCGTGCAGCGGACAAACGGCTCCTTCTCCGCGATGGACCGCGACGCTTGTGCCGGCCTGGCCAAGCCGCCGAGCCAGCAGCCGTGCCACCTGCGTGCGTGCGGCGCCCGCTGGTACACCACGGCATGGAGCGCGGTGAGCACCGTCGGTCGGTCGTTCAGCAGCAGCAGCAGCTGGCTTTAGCTGCCGGCAAATCCTGAGAGCCACATGGGGGGCTGTTGTGAGTATAAAAAGCGGCTCCGAGGTGCACAGGCGTGGATTAACTAACAGGCAATCCATTCACCCGTGCAGAATTTATGAGTCGTTTTTTTTTAAACAGACGAAATAAATATATAAATGTAAATAGGTGATGCTGGGGTGTTTTTTTGTCGCTTTACAATTGAGGTTAAAACATGTGCTACCAACCAAAAGCAATTTCAATATTTATTTTACTTTAATTTAACAATCATATAAAATATATACGAGGTTGAGTGGTAGTGTAGTGGTTAGTGCATTGCGCAATGGGCTCTTGAGGCCCGAGTTTGATCGTCGGCCAATCCTTACCACAATAACGATGTAAATTTACGTGCCATCTAAATGCGACCACATCTTTAGGACCTTAATAAGAATTGAAACAAAACTAAACAAAAGTGGGAGAGAGAGAGAGAGAGAGCAACACCGTGGCACAGCTTGGGATGAACCAACCAGGGTCTAGCACGACAAGAAACCCTCAGGACGGTTGGGGCAGCTAGGGGCAGCAACGACAAAGTCACCCAGGGCATCCTTGGGGGTCCTTCCTTCACCTCGCAGCTACAAGCAATATCTGAACTTGGCCTGTGCCTTCCCTTTACCATTACTCCCCCCCCACCTAATCACCTCCGATTAGCTACATAGGGTGCGAAATAAGTTCAGCATACAGAAGTAACAAACAACAAACCAGGACTGATACTGCATAGGGAAGTCTTCATCCAGCAGTGCGTCGTCAACGAGCTGTGAATTATGATTTATAGTTCGTGCATGAAAATATGCATTCCTGTTTTGGGTGACTTTGATGAATTATACGATGAAGCAATAATGTTGAGTCTTCCGCACTTCAGCATATCAGCCAAACAAGCCTCAATGCCCCTCTCTTTCTTATAGGCCTACCTGGCATCAGCAATGGATAACAAATGTCTTCGATGCTGCCAAACTCAGCGAGCCGAAATGATTGGTGAAGTTGCGTCCAAAAAAATCTAGTTGATTGCTCACAACCTGGTCGTGTGCCTGTTCCCCGCATTCCCCCAAACCAACCCCCCCACCCCTTGCTGCAGTGTTCCAAGTCGTGCGAAACCGGATTCCGCGTGCGCGAGGTGCGATGCCTCGATGACAGCATCGCTCCCAGCAGCAGCTGCGACGCCGAGCTCAAGCCCAGCAACAGGGAGGATTGCAACACGCAAGCCTGCATCCCTGAGATCGGTGGGCCAAGTTTTGTGAAGATTCTGGGGAAAAAGAACGACTTTTTAATAGGGTGTGGGGTGATCACATGGCGGGCAGCAGAGGGCAGCGCAGCAAAATACATTGTTGTAGTGTACCTCTATGCTTCCGCATCTGTGCGGATTGCCTTCACCTTACCCGCATTGACCAGGGTGGTAAATTGTAGTCAAATAGCCCCCATATGACCAGCAGAGGATGGAAAAAAGAGCTGTACCGGTACCCAGTTGGTCTGTTGCATTCTAACCCTTAAACCCCGGATTTTAATCTTGTTTTTGTGTATTTTTGCTCTGGTAGCTTTGATGAAGATGGAGTTCAGTTAATGGGGACTGAAACGCTAAAACAGTGCTGTTGTTCATATCAACGGAATCTAAGCACTGCGTAGGTGTACGCTGCCTAGAGCAATGCCGAATTAAAATTCACATGTTGTATGGTGTTGGGGATACTGCATCTGTCCTGTTGGCTGACAGCTTTGCAACAGACACCCAGTCCAATCTAACTTGCCTGGTTTAATTTCCCTATTGTGCCTGACAGGTGTGGCCACCAGAGATGTATCAATCGTGATGTATAAACCAAAGATTTTATGAACAGTGTGAACCATCCATTTAAGGAATAGCTACAATGTAGTCGCTGCAGCAGCAGCATATATTGAATATATATGCTGTGTTGTAAATATTATCCACTATTTTTGCGATACGATTCTCAAGAGCCTTGCTTAACTGGGACGAACATATGCGCTCAATAGTCGAAAGTATGAGCAGTGATTGCTTTTGCCCGAAACGTTTTACGTTGGTTTTCGATCGTCATGATATATCTTTTGTTTTAATGTACGCTCGTAACTTGAACTTCTTTTGCACCGCGCGCAAGCCAACGCTTGTGGCCGCACGCAGCGCACGCTGAGCAAACATCCAACCATGCGCGTGTCACCGCCCACGTTGTCTTTCCGCAGACGAGAACTGCAAGGACAAGTACTTCAACTGCAACGTGGTGGTGCAGGCGCGGCTGTGCGTCTACAACTATTACAAGACGGTGTGCTGCGCCTCGTGCACCCGGGCCGCCAACCGCGCCCGCCGCATCGGCCGGAGATAACGGGCCTCCCCGTCGGCACCCTCGGTCCCGCGTGGGCCCCCCAGCCTCCCCCCCCCCCCCCATCCCGTGGCCTCGGCCCCAACGTCGACGGGAGACTTCGGCAGCAGAGCGGCGAGCGGCGAGCGGCGACGCGTTTGCGGCTCCCCGGAGAAGAACGGATGACTTTTATTTCTGTGGAAACTGAGACTTGCCTCGAGGTTCATTCATCCGCAAGCAGTGAAGAACGGCGCACTTTGTGAAACAGATTGCGCGCCGCTGCGCTGCATATAACCGAACAATCAGTTGAAGGTCCACGGGGGTGGCTCGCTTTGTTTATTTCTGGATAGACATTGCCCCATAAGAATGGCTTTTATTTGTATTCAGCACATATACAGCATACGGTGTGCATATAAAGTAGCAGGAGGCCTTTACATATGAATTTGCATTACCTCATTCCTACTCCAATAACTGGGGCTCAGGCCAGTAGTAACATTAAGATTCGTCTAAAACGTACGCCCCCGCTATTGCATAAGTAAAAACAATCCGTATTAAATGCGTTTGCTTCGCTTGTGAACCGTTCCATGAACCCACACGTGTTTTAAGGAACCAGTGTTAAGGATGAGGCGATCCAACGTGATGATAATCACGGATGCAACGACATACATCACGCTTTCTCCCACTGCAGGCGATCTCACACGCCGCCTTTAATCCGGAAATGGGGGGGGGGGGAGACATGTATTTTATTGACACGAAGATATTTAGTTTTTTCGTGCGGCATTGCGGGTGCGAACTCCGCCAGAGGCTGGGATCACAGGCTGCATCACCCCGAAGTGCTGTTGGACAGTACAATTTAAATATTTGAAATCATCTTGTCACGATCACACCCCGGTTTGTGAGATTCTACAGCAGGGTTCTGATCCCCCTGCACCACCCCCCACCACCCCGACCGCTTCTCAATTCCCCCCACCGCTTCGGTTTGCCTCTGGGTAACGTGTGTTGTTGTAGATAATTATCAAGAACCGCCCATTAACAGTTGACATATATATTATTTCAGCAGCCACAACTACCTCTTCTTTAAATTTGCCGTCATGACACATATATGGTGCTGTTTTAGGTGCTGTTATATAAAGCTGTATTGTATTTCTTTTACGCTGTTACAATTTGCTGGTTTTGTTCTTTGTTTGCATTTGCAGCTGGGGAGGAGTGCAGCGATAGACGTAAATTAACAAAATAACAGTTCAGAAATACATTTTCTGTGCCTGCAACAGATTTCTTTTTTTAAATCCAATATTGGTGTGAAATGTCGTGCAATTGTATTTTTTCTTTATTGTCAACCGATGACGATTGAATTAACACACACGTTTCACGTTTCATCTACGTTACGACAGTGATGTAAGGTATTTCTAACGAGGGGCAATCAAATGTTACCACTTCTTGCTTCAAAGGTCAAAGGTTCCCTAAATGTTAAAGTGCTCTCAGCCATATTTAGCTTGGTGCCTTGTAAATAAATCTAGTAATGTTATTGTGAGCTTATATGAAAGCTAAGCCTTGCTTTTGTTGTTAATAATCATTTTGTACAATATTCTTAAAGGTTTTACCTTTAATTATATAGCCTTGCAATTATACACATGAACACAGTTATTCTTATACTAACATTTAGTAGTGCTACTGTTAAAACAAATTTACTTTTAAAAAAGCTACATTTACAATTATATTTTAAAGCTGGCAAAAAGTATTATAAATACTTTAATATAATGTTTTTTTTTACCTTCATTGACTCATTATCCACAGTTGTGTTTATGCTTTTCTTTCTTATAAGGCTGCACTTCTCCCCCCCCTCCCCCCCGAAAAAATAAATACTATTTTGTTAATGATTAATTTATTTTGTACAACTGTGTTAATGAACTGTTATGGTTGGATTTTGATGGATTCTCAAAACAAGAGGTATGGCGGGGGCCAGGTGGAGTGGGTAACAATGTATAACTCTCCTACGAAAATTAAATGCTCGGCAGTTCTAATCTGTGGCCTAACTATCGAATGTACCGGCAGTGCAAATACACCGGGAACCCTGGGCTGGTGGAGCCCAGTGGGCGACAAATACCAGGGAGGATTATTGGATGGAGGGCCTCATTTTATTCTTTGCACCAGGACCCGTGCCCGTCTGTTCTAATCTAACACCTATGCTGCCTTTTAACACTGCGACTGCATGCAAAGGTGAGGGCAATAGCTACAGATCTAGCCATGTATGATGTGTAAGTCTTAGCCGACCGTCATTCGCTGTTAGACATTAGGAACGCTGAAGATGTCACGTGCGTTTTTGGCCAGCCTGCTCGTATTTACATCCATTGTGACACAAATATGTACCGTACTGTAGATTGCGACTAAAGTCACTGAAAACAATCTACAAACAGGAAATAAACATTTGCAAAGTCACTTGTTGTTCAGTCTTATGTATGTGGTTGCATCAATAATTATTTTATATGCTCTGTTTTTCTGTGTGTGCATGTGTATAGTGCACGTGTGTGCGTTCATCAATATACGTGGCATTATTCCATTCCCTGTTGTAATCGCCTTCCCACTGAGTGGTCTCAGTTCAGCTAAACTAGCGCAAGTGCCACTATGGTGTCATCCAAAGTGTTGTGAATGGTCGCTATTCGGTTGCCACTGTCGTTGATATGTAATGAAAAAAACTACTACAAAAAACGAGCTCAATGACACATTATTATCTTCCAATGAGGATTTTGTGAGAACATGTGCAGTGCTTGTAAATGTAACATGTAGAAATTGTGTGTAGCAATCTACATATTGCCATATATACTATGCATATGTAATATATGCATATACATGCACTAGGTGAAATCACTGTTATCAGGTTCTCATGTCATCCTGGAATCATCCCATCTAAATGCAGTGCACCTGACCGTTATGACGCCACCAGTATGACGTGATGAGAGTTGCATTTAGATTGGGTCATTCCAAAAGGGCAGGGCATCTGACGTCTGTGCTATGGCCTCTGCGATTCAACAGTCACTGTGGATCATGTGTCTATGACGGATTGAATCATTTTCCCAGATGGAGAGGGTTTCTATCAATGCTCATTGTAAAAATAGGAGGCATCAGTTTCCCAGGTGAACTCTGCACAGAAGGCCAATGCTGCCTTGGCCAAGGCTGCCTGTTGGTGCCAAATATCAGCGAATCAAATGCGCACGTGCTTGGAGGTATTCCTTCAATTTCCCATTTTGTGTGCGAGTCTTAATAGGTGCCTGAGAAACTGATCTTGGTAGAAAACCTTTTAACCTTATTTTCTTTCACCAGGAGCCCATTATACAACCGTTTACGTCTGATCCTTCACTTCAAAGGTTGGCCCCATGCAGGGCACATAAAACACATGATCTAGGCACTTTGGGTGAAGCGGGCAGCTACTACAGCTTCAGTGCATTACAGCTTAATTTGCTGCATCTGGTCAGGAACGTGGGAAATCGCTATTCACAGCGTTGGCTCGCATTTTCTTCACGTGAATTTAATTGGCTGTTGTGTTTCAATTGTCCGTTACATGTAATTGTATTTGAGATGAGTCGTGTAAAAATTGAAAATGTACCCTTCGATACTTTCAGAAACTTTAAAACTCACAATGGTATTTAACATAATTGTATTCAATGTGCTGCCTATTTGAAAGTCTGATAGGCTCTCCTGCGCAACTTACATATTGATGGCCAACATGATAAGGCTTTATAATTAATTCTCAAAGGAAATGTGACGCCAGAGTTTCCTCTTTTGACTCGCAAATCAGGTAGAGCATGAAATTACCAGGATTTCACAACATTAAAACAAGCTTCCTGCTTTCCTGGAGGTTAACACTGCTGTCAAGGTTATAATGAGCAGTCTTTTCCTGAGCACTTTAACCTTGCGTGCCCTGCGGAAAGAGGGGGGGGGGGGGGACCCAGAGACCATGTTGCAGGATCACATTCTGTTGTTTCTCCGAGTCAGTCCTTGAGTAATGAAAGTAAGGTCACCAGTTTCTCAAGCTGCCTCCAAGAGTAATGCCAAGCCTTTTTGGTAAACGTTAATTTAATGAATTGGCTATCTCGAGCTCACTTGACAGATTGAAAGGGGAGATATTAAAACAAACATTTTACAGCGCTCCACTGAGGGTATTTATTTTAATTTTCAAGTTTGCTTTCAAGGAAATGTGGTCAATGGATGACAGTTGTTTTCATTTTCCACTCCAATAATTAAAGTTGAATATTGTATCCATGTGGCGCACTTCATGTGGTGTGGCAGATTGAACACTGCACTCATGCTTCCGATCTGATTGAGACAGTGTTGAGTTTTGATTTCCTAAACAGTGGTTGAAGTAATGGCATACATTTCCTACATCTATCCAGGGATATGAATGATGTTAGTGGAATAATTGTATTGCTTGGATCACTCCTGGGAGATTAACTTATGGTGCGACTATATTTTCAACACATCTGGACTGTATGAAAATGTTGGCTAAACCTCCCATCAAAATTAGAACGCCCTCAGTAATTAAACACATTTGTTCGTGTACAATAAATTCAGATTTTCACGCTTTAAGATATAATTTTCGTTCGTGTCATAAAAAATACATGCCCAATACGCTGGAACACGTGTGCAAGACGTTTTTCTTATTTTGCGCACGACTATTGTGAGGAAAATCGCACGAAAACAGTTTTTAAGAACAATTTCTAACATCTCTCGTCTGCACCTTGTAGCAAACATAAAATACACATACTGTACTGCATAAGCCAAGGAAAACTTTCCAGAAGTGTCCACACCATATTAGTGTACATGAAAATGTCCACACATGGCCCCGTGGCAAAAAAATATATCCCTCGATTGCCAAGTGATTAGGTCAAGACAAAAACAACTTTCGAAAATTGAGGTAAATTTTAAGTGAAAAATGAATAATCGCAGTTGTGCTCCTATTTGAGAGTTTTAACACCTTCTGATGGCAAACACATGTTCCATCCACACAACAACCTCACTTCTCCGCCCCACTCGTTCCTCCATCTTCACTCAAATGCCAACATCAGTGAATGGTTATTAAGGGGCATGTCTTCAATGAAATCCCTGGAGTTGTCGCAATTCCCATAAAACATGTTGAATGCACAGAAGCAGGTGGTGCTTGCGACTGCATATGTGCAGGCACGGAAATGCATCACACATGAGGAGCAACAGACGATGATGATGATAATGACACACCGAGGCCCGCTTCTTCTCCGGTGAATTTATGAATTTATAAACGTGATAAATAGGTCGATAGCGGCATTGTTGAGTGTGAGCACTGGGCTGTGACGTGACTGCATACACATAACCTAATGATGTGACAAAAGGCTATTACCACAATAATGTGCCAGCTTATTCGAGATGCATTATCTGATATCTCTGAAATAAATGAGTCAGACGTTTGCCTATTCTTCTGCAGTTTATTTATAAAAGTATTTCATATGAAACTCTTTTCACACGTATATTTTAGTAATTAATATAATTAGAGACTGCGGCAGACGAGTGGAGCGCTTACTGATAGCACTTTGTGAGAATTAACAATGGCGATATATTGGCAGAAATCGTATATGCTTAAGAGTTGCGTCACAGAGTCTTTTATCATCCCTTTTATCAGTTTTACAGCCGATTTGCGATGTCTTGGCATGTTCCAGCATTATTAATAGAGCAAGTAAATCAAAAATACCATAATAGAGTTTTTTTGGGGTTAGATCGCATATTTACGTATTTACGCGATCCAACCCAGAAAAAAACTTTATTATGGATGATATTTATATTCATGGTTATTTCGGTAAAGTCACGTAGAAAATAAAAATAAAATGAAAAATCAATTAAAATAAAAAGCAAAAAAATACAATGTTTTTTTTATATGAATTCCTGCGGTCACGAAAGTTTTAAGTCAAAATGGATGATATTGTTCGCGAAAACCTAAGCGTTAAACACATCAGAGATGGTTTACGAAAGTGAGTGGGCTTTGGTAGGACACATCGCTATGAAGGGATGATGGCCACGTGTGAGAAACTATTGACGAAATGGCAGCCAAAGTGTACGACCGCCGCAGAGATGGAGCGACAAGATCAGCGTATGTGAAGTAGTGCAAATTAAGCGTGCCATTGTGGGAGCATCCATACAGCAGTGGAGAGATCATGACTGGCAATGATGATGATGCTCATTCAATTTGGGCAAATCAACTCTCTTGCATCTCTCAACCTGGCACAGCTGCCAATAAGTGAATGGCAGTGGTGAATCTGGAGGGAAACCCTCTCTCAACCTGGCACAGCTGCCAATAAGTAACTAGCAGTGGTAAATCTGGAGGGAAACCCTCTCTCAACCTGGCATAGCTGCCAATAAGTGACTGACAGTGGTGAATCTGGAGGGAAACCCTCTCTCAACCTGGCACAACTGCCAATAAGTGACTGGCAGTGGTGAATCTGGAAGGAAACCCTCTATCAACCTGGCACAGCTGCCAATAAGTGAATGGCAGTGGTGAATCTGGAGGGAACCCCTTTCTCAACCTGGCACAGCTGCCAATAAGTGACTGACAGTGGTGAATCTGGAGGGGAACCCTTTCTCAACCTGGCACAGCTGCCAATAAGTGACTGACAGTGGTGAATCTGGAGGGAACCCCTCTCTCAACCTGGCACAGCTGCCAATAAGTGACTGACAGTGGTGAATCTGGAGGGAAACCCTTTCTCAACCTGGCACAGCTGCCAATAAGTGACTGACAGTGGTGAATCTGGAGGGAAACCCTTTCTCAACCTGGCACAGCTGCCAATAAGTGACTGACAGTGGTGAATCTGGAGGGAACCCCTCTCTCAACCTGGCACAGCTGCCAATAAGTGACTGACAGTGATTAATCTGGAGGGAAATCCTCTCTCAACCTGGCACAGCTACCAATAAGTGACTGACAGTGGTGAATCTGGAGGGAAACCCTCTCTCAACCTGGCACAACTGCCAATAAGTGACTGGCAGTGGTGAATCTGGAGGGAAACCCTCTCTCAACCTGGCACAACTGACAATAAGTGACTGGCGGTGGTGAATCTGGAGGGAAACCCTCTCTCAACCTGGCACAACTGACAATAAGTGACTGGCGGTGGTGAATCTGGAGGGAAACCCTCTCTCAACCTGGCACAACTGACAATAAGTGACTGGCAGTGGTGAATCTGGAGGGAAACCCTCTCTCAACCTGGCACAACTGACAATAAGTGACTGGCGGTGGTGAATCTGGAGGGAAACCCTCTCTCAACCTAGCACAACTGCCAATAAGTGACTAGCAGTGGTGAATCTGGAGGGAAACCCTCTCTCAACCTGGCACAGCTGCCAATAAGTGACTGACAGTGGTGAATCTGGAGGGAAAGCCCTCTCTCAACCTGGCATAGCTGCCAATAAGTGACTGACAGTGGTGA